GTGTGTGTGTGTGTGTGTGTGTGTGTGTGTGTGTGAGAGGGCGGGAAAAAAACTTGTGTATTAGAAAAAACTGGCACTGAGAAAAAACTTTCGGGTGAAAAAAATTTTTTTTTACCTAAAGTTTCCTCCTCTCAGCTGATTGGTCAGTTGGTCAGTGTCATGTCAAACACAAGTTTAACAATCCAATCAGAGAACGGACAGGTTGTCTGTCGCTGTGACTCTGCAGGTCTCAGTGACATGATGTAACTCATTGGAAGGTCCTAAAAAGCCAAGCCAACTTTATTTATAAACACTTTAAAGTGCCTGCAACATTACATTTTTGCTATTAATATGAAAGCATTTTTGGAATTATAACTATGATAGTTTATTGCAAAAAAAACAAAAAAAACCAACACTGCTGAGATGAACAACCCCGGATTGTCCATCACGAACACCATGGGGTCACGGTCCTTCATGCTACAACTACTGCAGAATTACAGGTCAATCTCCAACCTTCCATTCATCAACAAAACACCTGAAACATCAGTGTTTCAACAGTTAAACAGCTTCCTAATGATAACTAACCGCTTTGATGTCTTTCAGTCTGGTTTCTGCTCACCACAGTACTGAGACTGTCCTCATCAGTGTTCAGTGACATCCATATTACCACATGCTGTGGAAGAACCACGGTGCTGGTTCTGTTGGACCTCAGTGCAGCATTTGATACCGTCGATCATGACAATTACTGAAACGACTGGAGAGTTGGGGACTCTCCAGTCCAGTATTCAACTAGTTTGAATCTTACATAAAGAACAGGGATTTCYTTGTTTCTATAGGTAACTTCTCATTGAAGCAGACAGAAGTCACATGTGGGGTACCCCAAGGTTCAATMCTAGGACCTCTCTTATTTAATATCTACATGCTCCTGCTARCTCAGGTTATAACAGGAAATAAGATTAGATACCAAAACTACGCAGATGTCACCAGGTGACTCTGAACCTATCCGATCACTGARGAGATGCTTGGAACAGATGTGTGGATGTGCCAAAACTTTCCTCAGCTGAAAAGAAACAAAACTGAAGTTCTTATCTTTGGATCTAAAGAGGAACAATCTATGGTCAACACACAGCTTCAGTTGATACAGCTAGAAACTAGCAGTCAGGCTGTAGTCTGGGTGTGGTGACGGACTCTGACCTGAACCYTCCGAGTCACATAAAGACAGTTACAAAGTCCTTCTATCACCTGAAGAACATTTCCAGGATTAGAGGACTAAAGTCTCACAAAGATCTAGAGAAACTCATCCATGTGTTTATCTCTGGTCACAGTGATCACTGTAACAGTGTCTTCACAGGTCTGCCTAAAACATCCATCAGACAGCTGCAGCTGATCCAGAACCAGAAAGACAGAGCACATCAACCCAGTTCTAAAGTCCTTACACTGGCTCCCAGTAACTCAGAGAATAGACTTTAAAATATTATTAGTTTATAAATCACTTAACGGCTCAGCACCACAACACATTTAAGACCTGCTGTTRTTGTATCAACTTCCAGACCTCTCAGGTCTTCTGGTTCTGGTCTGCCCTGCATCCCCAGAACCAGAACCAAACATGGAGAAGCAGCATTCAGCTTTTATGAACTGCAAATCTGGAACAAACTCCCAGAAAACTGTAAAACAGCCGAAACTCTTGAGTTCCTTTAAATCAAGACTGGAAAAACCACCTGTTTATAGAGTTGATTATGAGACATTATAAATGAAACATTAATCAACATGTTGATGTGTAACAATGACACCTGACAAACTGTAATAATTCACTTGTTAACTGTGTTCTATGACTTTGTATTTTTTGTATTTTTATGACTTTGAACTGCCTTGTTGCTGAAATGTGACATACAAATGAACTTGATTGGTTGATTGACAGCCATTTCCATCCTCTTGGTAAAATCTACCATCTGTCCTTCCTGGGCCCTTTCTTTGACTCCAAACCTGCCTTGCTTCTCTTCACTTTAGTCTWTTGGACACATAAAACATCTACATTTCTTCTCTGCATCATGTCAGAAACTCCTCCTTCGCCTGTCTTCTCTGTTCAGCATTGCTGTTCTCAGTCCTAAACTCTTCAATTTGCTCTCCTTCTGTCTCCTGRCATGTTYCCCTCCTTTTCACCTAACAGTAGAGCACTATCCATTGGTAACGTTTGTCAACAGCACTGGTGGCAATTGTTAATTTGAGCCTCAAATGATCCAGTATGGTGTTTTATCCAGATGTCCTTCCTGACACAACCCTCACTGTTTACTCTGACCCGGGACCACTAGAGACATACTGGGTTGTGCTTCTTGATGACTGGTTTATGTACAGATGTTACTCTATAATAAATAAATGAGACCTTCTTTACCTGACTGACAATTGTTTTTAAACTATCCAACAGGTTCAGAAGAAACTGAGGAAGCAGGTCTCAGGATGGTTCTTSTTGGAAAAACTGGCTGTGGAAAGAGTGCATCAGGAAACACCATCTTAGGAAGAAAAGTTTTTAAATCAAGGCTTTCTCCTTCATCTGTGACATCAGAATGTCAAAAAGAAACTGGACAATTCAGAGGTCAGCGTCTGTCAGTGGTTGATACTCCAGGTTTGTTTGACAACTATAAAAGTGAACGAGAAGTGAAGAAGGAGTTCTTCAGATGCATTTCTTTTCTTGCTCCTGGTCCTCATGTGTTCCTGGTTGTGATCCAGSCAGCCAGATTCACAAAAGAAGAAGAAGATAGTGTAAAGCTCATTCAGAAGGCTTTTGGAGCAAAATCATCAGMTTACACCATGGTTCTGTTCACTCGGGGGGATGATTTGGAGGCAGACAGGGTCTCAGTGGAACAATTTATTTCTGAAAATSCATCTCTCCGTAACCTCATCCAGCAGTGTGGAGGAGGATATCACGTCTTTAACAACAGGAGTGAGGATCCATCTCAGGTCAAARAGCTGCTGGAGAAGATCAGGAGGATGAACGATCTAAATGGAGGAAGTTATTACACCAATGAGATGCTGAAGAGAGCTGAGAAAGCCATAAGAGAAGAAACGACAAAACTTCTGAAAAAACAGTCACAGATGGGGCRGGCTGAAGCAAGAAGAAAAGCAGAAACAGATAACAAGTTTATTKTAGCTGCATTGGGAACTGGTGCTTTAGGTTTTGTTACAGGTGTTCTTATTGGAG